GATCCAGCCATCTTTTCCACTCAGTCTTGCTAGTTTCCCATTTTACTACACCCTCACTTCGTCCCACGTGGCTTTTGTACCTGCAGATCCAATGAGCCACAGCATAACTCTTTTGGGTGGTCAAATGAGACATCCCTTTCTTTTTTCGCCAGCAGAAAAGATAGTTGGATGATTTAACCTCATTATATTTTGCTATGTTATCATGTATCTTGGAAGGTAAGAGTTATTCTGAAGCAGAAAACTCAGTCCGTAGATTTCCAGCCAACTCATCCTAGCTTGTTAATAATGTTGCTCATTTTTATCAGTTCCTGTTAGCTATAAAGGCCAACTTCATCGGTCAATAATCAACATTCTGGCATGCTTCGCTCTCTGGTTGTATGGCAGGCTGTTCTTTTGCTGTTGATTATTCAAGCAGATGTCTGGTGATCATGTGCTCTTGGCTTTGATTCATGCATAAAACTAAAAGTTGCAGTTTATTCAGCCTACCCTCATGATGTCTAGTGGAATAAAATGAAGCAAAGGGCAATTTTGACACTCTCCAGTTTAGAGTTCAATTATACTAGTCCCACTGCATTTTGTGCTTTGATTCTGTGCTTTTCTTTATATGCGTAGATTTTCAGAACTACTTGATTCCACTGCATAGCCCAGTCCCATTAAATGGCTGTATTGAGGGTTTAAGTTCTGGTTGCCAATCTCCAGGTGGTGGCTGAAGATCTCCTTGGATTACAACTGATCTCCAGGTGACGTAGATCAGTTCACCTGGAGAAAATAGCCACTTTGGAAGGTGGAATCTATAGAAGAAGTCCCTCCTTCCCCAAACCCCACCCACCTCAGGCACCACCCCCAAAATCTCCAGGTATTCCCCAACCTGGTGCTGGCAACCCTAGGCTAATTCATGTGTTCCAAAGTACTTGCATACTCTATGTGTCCACCCTGTCTTTGTAATCAGACATGTGTTGGGAATTCTGTGCTGGGAACTCAATTCGCAAGTGTGCACAAGCCTAACTTGGATTGGGACCATGGTGCACTTGGCAAAAAGGCTTAAGCTCTCTCTCCTGTGTTATTTCCCAACCTGAAATGACCCAGTGAGCCACTATTTGCTCTGCTGGGGAAACTTATATGCATGCATGCATTATGAGTTTTCTCCAATAGGGTGAATAGCAGCTCTCTGGAACATTTTAGGTTGGGAAAATGATGTGAGGGGGGGGTAGCTTAAACCCCTTCCTGTGCAGTGGTAGGATTGCCAGGTTCCCCCTGCCCACCAGTGGGGGATGGGGGGGTAGGGATATCAGATCCAGGCTGGGAAACTCCTGGAGATCTGGGGATGGAGTCTGGGGAGGACAGAGACCTCTGTGGGGTACAATGCCATAGAGTCCACCCTCCAAAGCATCCATTTTCTCCAGGAATCCTGATCTCTGTAGTCTGGTGATTAGTTCTAATTCCGGGGGATCCCAGATCCTATCTGGAGGCTGGCATCCCTACTGTGCACTGAAATCCTGGTCCAAATCAGGCCTCCATGTGCCACTAAATTAAGTTCTGAGCTCAGAATTCACAACACATATCTGATCAAAAGGTCCAGGGTGACTACGTGAGGAACACAAGGACTTTGTGACATGTGAATCATCCCCGACTGAAGACAGGTGCAGAAACCTATATGGTGCCATTCTGTGCGAACCATGGTATAGCACAAGAGGACGCCACCACAAAATGCGGCACAGCAGTGGTTAGTCATGATGAGCTATCTCGAGTAAGTTCTGGAGAGGTGTCATACAATTTTTCTAAATAAATAAGCAAAGCTATTGCAGAACACGGAAACTGTCAAAGAGGATGCGTGGCAGGTAATTCATTTATGTGCTCAGAGACCTTCTAGCCACTATGCTGCAAGCTTACTTGATATGATCCTTTTAACTTGTTGAATTTTTAGCAACTCAAGGTCATTTGGGTAGTACATCATAAACTGGTATTTCCATTGCCATCCTAAGTAGTTACACCCTGCTAAGCTTCAATAGACTTAGAAGGGTGTGATACTGCTTAGGATGGCATTGGCTGACACTTTGAACCAGTTTACTTGATTGCTTGTCTCAAGGTGCTACAGCAGAAGTGAGATTTGAACACAGGATTAGCTCAGTCTCTTAGCCACTATGTTACACCAGTTGCTATGCTATTTTAACACAGGTTGCGGCTGGGAAACACTCTAGAGAATAACTGTAAAAGTAATGCCTAGCAAGCTTAAGACAGCAGATGTGCAGCCTTTGGTTCAAGATCACCAGTTCATCCACTGGTCGTGGCTACCTTGCGAAGTGCAGATTGCTTGGTTTATACAACTGCACAATGCTATAGATAAACAACATGACCATAATCGCTACATTTTTTTTTCTTTGACAGCAATATATGTTTAGAAGAAAAAAAGACATGTCCTTTCATGAAGGCTCACTGCTTAAACGTAAGCTTTGAATGCACTAATTTATCCTTTGGTTCCCCCCCCCCCCACACACACACACACGCTTCTAAAGAAACACTGGCTAGTTTTTTTCTACCTGGAAGCAAGTGGCACTGCCATTCTCTCATAAACAGACAAGGAACAGAAATCAAACTGCTGATTTTACTTTAGACTAGCCCTTAATGAACACCGGCTGATATGCCTGTGAAATAGATTGGGCCAGTTAGAATCAAATACGATTATATCCTGTATTATTAGGAGGAACTAATGCTTGTGCTAATAAAGCCCCTATCTTATCCTCTCTGTATGACTCGGTTCCACAGCCTTGAAGTCATGCTCAAACAACAATACTGCCCATTTGTAATGTCAAGCTGTCATAAACAGAAACCAAGTAACCTTTCCCTTCAGTGGCAGTGCAGGGTATCATGTTCCATTCCAGTCTTTGGGTCAACATTCCCAGGGAGGTGTGTCGCAAAGCTCCTCCTGTTCTTCGAGCCTCTTGCTGTGGTGGCGTTACATAATAACAGTTTATTCTTTTTCTGCAATGGTTTTAAATGAGCTGAACAAACTTTTGCAACACGCCCTATGAGAGGTTTTTACGGAATGAGCATGGCTCTCTCTTATCGTATGGACCCGCTTTATTAGGCAGGTACAACACAAACTATCCCCTAACAGCACTAAAGATGAGCCAAATAGATAAACTGTGAGCACAGGCAAGTGTGGAAGCATTTCGTGCCATCAACTGGTGACAGAAAACTCTTAACATGGGAAGGAGCCCTGATTCCACACCCAAGAAAATTCTGTGGTTTTCCAAAGTCTTGGGAGGAGATCTTTGCAGCCCTGAGATTCATTTTACTGAAAATGCTGGAGATCCTTGATGGTTTGTGGATATACAATGAACATTGGTTAATGAGGTTTTCAAATAAGTCTCATTATATTGGGAAAACTGGTACTTAGATCCAAACTCAGCCCTTCCCATTCTTTTGAGACTGGACAGACAAACACTGTTCAAAAGCAGCATCAGTGGCAGAGCCTCCAGCCTTCTCAGCTTTACATCAGCAAAATGCTAGGAAAGGCACTCAGGTTGCCTAATAACAGCTTTACAGCCTCTAAAGGTTGAAGCTGAGGCCTTTGTCAAGAGGAAATGAGAGGGAATCTGTTACGTGATTTGCTGAGGAAACCCAGCCCCATCTCCACCCCTGACCCCTCCCACCTGTACAAGGCACAAGACGTCTCTTCACAGTTGTTGGTGCACAATGTCATGTGTCATACTTTATAACACCCCTATGTGATAGTACTGGGGTCCATCTCTTGTCCAGGAAGTCTCACCCACAGCTCCAGGCAAGGAAGCAGAATGTTACCATGCAAAACCAGATTAGTCTAAATTATTTACAGTGAAGCAGAGGGGAGGTGCAAATTTGCTTTGCTTTGTGAAGGTCAGTCCTGTGACTAGAACAAAATCTCCACCAAGTCGGGCAATCCTGAGTTCCTTAATGGAAGCAGAGCTGTACTGGGTCAAACAGAACATCTGGATACACTGCCCTGCCTTTGAATTGAGAATGGAACCATCCACCTGCTGTTCCACCTCTGGCACACAGCTGTCTCTAGCATTTGATCTCTCTATGAGATGGAGGAATTTTCTGTGAGTTTGTGGACTCTTGGGGGAGGAGATTGTTAGTTGTCTGTTTTTTTAAAAAAAAAAATTAAAGTTAGTATGTGTAGCGCATTTGTCTTGTGCTGTCCACCGAGGAAAGGATATGATTATTTAATTCAAGGTCAGTTTGTTGCTCACTGTACAAAGTACAATGTGAGGCATGTGCTGAATACCTACATAACTGGTATTATAAATGTGCATATATTTTATAACAGTACAGAAAGTACTCTCAGAGGATGTCTTCACATGATCATATGGATTTCAGCGGGCATCCCTCAGTAGTTTAGCTCTGCTCTGTTCTGTCAAATCCAGGGATTGAGTTTTCCAATGAAATTAGTGCCCATCTTTTAAAATTTGAACTATGTCACAATTGTATCAAGAAACAGCCTGAAAAGCACTAGCAATCTGTTTTGCTTTAAAAGAAGTTTGAGCCTGTCATTCTGAAAACAAAGCAACTGTTCGCTTGGTGATTTTATTATTGGCCCTATCTCCCTCTATTTGAATAAGTGCATCAATGTGATGTGGTGGTCAGTGTGTCAAACTAGGACCCGGGAGACCCAGGTTCAAATCCCCACTCTGCCATGGAAGCTTGCAGGGTGACCTTGAGCCAGTCACCCACTCTCAGCCTAACCTGCCTCACAGGGTGGTTGTGTGGATAAAACGAAAGAGGGGAGAAAGATGTTGCAAACTGAGAAAACCAGGTCTAAATAAGTGGCAACAGGTTGACAAATGACTGTGGTGCTGATTTTCTCCAGTACATATATTAAAAGATTGTAACTGCTGTGAGAGCGGCAGGTTTGGAAGCTGCAGGCTGAAGTGATTGTGGAGTAGCAAAACTTCAGAGAATTGTAACCCACAGACTTAGATACACACACGACGTTTCTTAAAAAGCAGAGGCTCCCCTACCTTCTTGCCATTTACGAAGAAGACAAGTTCATCCTTTCCTGAAGCCATTCTGTGCAATTTTCCAAATGCACCCCAGAGAGGAAAGGGGAGATTCCAAAACACGCCACTCTGAGCAGCCTCAGCAGCACCACAGCAAGTAGAGTCCCAGTGACACCAGCCAAGCAATAGGAGTAGTCCTTAGGAATCTTTCACCTGACTTGAATAGTAATGCCCTGTGAGAGTCCAGGTTATATAAGAGACACCCGGAGGCGTGCCAACTCTACTTGCCCGGTGCTGTTCCTGCACTAATGATAGCACAGGAGAAATTGAGAAAGAATAAAGCCACCGCCCCTTTCTATGGAAGGAGATTAGACCGAATCAAGTATGTTGCTGTTCCAATAGACAGACAGTGCCAAGGCTGGGGCAGGCAAGCCTGGCAGGAAACAAGCCTTGCCAACAGCTTAAAAAAACTTGTTCCTTCAAGTCCCATTTAGGTTTTCCAACCAACTCTCACTTACATTTACTACAACTGATGCAAGCTATTGTCTGCCACACACCAGCCATTTCATGTCCCTCACAAACAATAACTTCATAAATGCTTGTTGAACAGGAAAGTTTATACCTAGTGAGCCATATAGTTCAAAGATCATTTAAGGTGGGAGAAAGGTTATAGTATTTCAGAGTGCCAAGGATGGTATGGTAAAAGCATTAAAATTCTGTCCTATCATCTTCCTTATTTGTTGGTTTTGTAGGGATAGCCAATGCTTTAATACCCTGCTAGACACTTGTGACTAGAGAAAAGAGTGAGGGCAAAAGAAATGGGTCCATGCACCATGGGCAAAGAAGTCTCGATCATATCACCAACACTATTTAATCAACTATTGACACTTGGCCTCTGACCAACTGCTACACTGACCAATTAACTAAAACCACTGCCTAGTAAATGTTTACAAAGTTCCTTCTAAGAGAAAAGGATTTCTTAACTTTCATTGCCAGCTGATCGAAGAATGGCTGGACAACCAAAGGCTCTTTTCTTACACTCAATCTAAATCTGCTACAACTTGATCCCAGTGAGCCCCACCATAAATCTACTCCAGCTGTCTAATGTCTAAGGAGGAACTGCTCTACATAGGTCAGGGAAAGTATTCAGCATCCTTGCTTGCCACTTGATTTGTTCTGTCCCAAAGTTCAATACTAAATGCACTTATAAGAAAATTCCATTAAAGCCAACAAGACTCTCAAAGAAAATACGTTTTGGAGGACTGGAGTGCCACTCCCTGAGATCCACGTGACAATCTCACTGTAATTCTTAATATATTAGAGGTATTACTATAACGCAACACATAAGCTTACTTAAACCCCCAGTCTTTGGCATAGTGATCGCAGGGTCCATTTTAGAATGTAATAGAAATTCCATGGCACATTTCACTTTCTACTTTCATTTATTAAATGCACTTTGCACAGAGTTAAAGAACTGGATCCATGGACCCATTTTAAGAGATATTCTGATTTTTAAAATATTCCAGAGCTCAGGATGATTCTAGGTTTATGTTTAATATCATTGGGAAGTCTTGGCACTATCAGCTTGGCAAGCAAGAAACTGCAGTCTAACTTATACCGCACAGGAGGCCAGCTGAGTTCATACCACAGCAAGCCTGCTCGAAAGCAAGAAATTGCAAGTAGATAAATAGGTACCACTTCGGTGGGAAGGTAACAGCGTTCCGTGCGCCTTGGTGTTTAGTCATGCCGGCCACATGACCACGGAAACGTCTTCAGACAGCGCTGGCTCTTCGGCTTTGAAACGGAGATGAGCACCGCAACCCTACAGTCAGATTCGACTAGCTTTCGAGCAAGGGAACCTTTACCTTTACTTTACCCTTGGCCTAGCCTATACTCCCATTTTGGTAGTCTAGGGAATTCAAATGGCTGCTTCCTGTTTGGGGAGAGATGGGCATTCTCCTTAATATTTTCTAGTTCTGGAGCATGAGAGGGGACGGATGGCAAGGGACATAGAAGTAAAGTCAGCATGAACTTGGAGAAGGAGTAAATTTGTGGGGCATGTTTTCCAAAGCCTTATTGAATAATGAGCTTGTTCTCAGCTGCACCTCTTTAGATTACAAGTAGGGATGTATGGTGGAATGCTCCCCCCCGCCCCTGCACAACAGATCCTTACACATGAAAAGCTATCATGCCAAGAAAAAAGTTTTAGAGCCTTCTCTTTGGTTCTCTTAAATGCATGGATTTATTTTTTATTTTTTTTGCACAGAGCATTGAAACATGATATACACACGTACATCTGCAATCAGACACAGGTTTGTCCTTCCAGTGAAAATGAAACACAGAGGTCTAACTTGCTTTGGGCCAGCAAGACTGGTAACCTAATTCTGGAAAAGCTAACAATATTAATGGTATTCCAGAAACACTGGATTGCTATGAGGATGAAAGAGAGAGGGTGGGTCTTGTATTCTATCCTGGACTCCTTGAACAAAGTGCAGATTTTAAAAATGTGATATGCAAAACCATGTTCTGCTATGTGCTGTTTCTCACATGTGCGATATTTGTGGCAAGCACCACCTCTGAAGAAATGCACTTAAAAATAAACTTCTTAACTAAGTTTTAAAATCAGCCGCTTTGAGGTCAAGCACACATTGGCAGCCATGTTTCAACTGGAACAAAATTATATACTCGGTAGTCTTCTTTGAGTCCTTTTGTTTCTTCTAATCTTTTGACAGGGTTGGATATGAATTGATACAAACTTGACAGAGAATGCTAGCTGGGAGTGCACTGGCTTGAGTCACTGGTGTGTGTGTGTGTGTGTGTTCTTTGTTTAGTTTTCATTATCAGCCCACAGAAGACACATTCCAGCAAGTTTTCAGACACAGTGCTGAATCTAATTGCCTGAGGTTTGCTTTAAAAACATGGCATCCGTCCCAGTGCTGAAATTTTGTACACCCAGTCAGCATTGGATTATGATAATGATAAGTAAATAATAATAATAATAATAATTCATATTATAAGTACTTCAAGCATTCCACATGGATTATCTCAGTGACTTTTACAACAGCCCTAGAAGGTAGGCCAGCATTGTGACAGACACACATACATATCCTTAAAAACATAATAATGGGCCTGCTGGATCGGACCAGGGGATCACATAGACTGGGCAGAGGTCTCAAGGAAGCTAACAAGTAGCTTCCCAGGCCTGTGGATAGGATTTTTTTCTCAGGAGGCTTTTAAATTTTTAAGGGGGCTTAAACCAAAGCAGCTGGAGTGTGTGCAAAAAGTATTGACAGCAGCCTGCCTACTGTAGCTCTATCCCCCCAAACTCCCCATCAGTGAAAAGAATAGCTTAGCACTTAACCCCCTTACCTCCCAACCCCCACCCCTGACATCAGGGAAACCCATCCCCTCTGTTCCTAAGTTTATTCCCCCACCTTCCCCGAGGTGCAAACTTTCAGCATCGGAACAGCCTAGGACTCGAGGGTGGAGCAACTGGCCAGCCAGCTCACAGGTGAGACTGGGCTTGGCGTGGCAATACCGGCATGCACAGCTAAACTCAACTCTTTTTTTAAAAGGTGCATCATGATGGCGGCATAGGAACAGCGGCTGGAGGGTAGAGTGACCAGCCAGCCGGCTCATCATGGGCAAGGCTGAGCGAGACTGGGTTAGGGGACGGCGGAGGGTGAACCTGGTGAGGTCATGTGCAGCACAGCTCCTTCTCGGCATGGCTCTAAGGTCTGTTTGTGGCACAGGAGCGCGCACCTTTAAAAAACTGGTAAAATGTGTTTTTAAGGGGGGTTTTGGTGAAAATCTTGTGGTGCTGTGCCTTTAAGAGAGGGGGCGGAGCCCCCAAAAGCCCCACCATAGCTATGGGCCAGCTGCTACCCTTCCATGATTTGTTCTCCAGTAACCAGTTTTCAGATATAAAGAACACCTACCAGTTTTTAAGAAGAATTTACCATTTGTTTTCAAGAATGCTGAAATCCCTACTATTAAGTTTACTTTAACTATATGTGAACATTAATCTATGTGACATTTTATTGCCTGCTGTTCTCTCCTATCTCGGAACATGCCGACCTTTGAGATCTAACTGCTAAGTGGACCGGAAAGAAGAAGCACATAGGGTTTTTTTAAAAAAATGAGATAATTTTTAGAGGCGACATTCCGTTTTGGAGGGTCGCCCCCAACTGCATCAGGATTTGGCAGGATCTGCAAATGCACAACAGCTTCCAGGATGGTGAAAGGTTTTTTTTTTTTTTCTTCCAGCTGGACTCCTTTGTCTTAACAGCAATGTAGCAACCAAACGTTTGGCTGACGAATCTTCATCCTGGTTGCATTACCAAGGCCCCGGTCACACGGGCCAGATAATGTGGGGGGGAGGCATGGCTGTTCGCCCCGGAGCAAAATTAAGCGCGGTAGCCCGATCACACAGTCCCCCGAGTCTTCGCACTTAGGCTGTTAGCTGGCGATCACACAGCGATGCTGGAGTGTGACAAAGAAGTAGAGTGGCAAGTGTTTCGTGCTTGTGTGCATGCGTAGTTCCGCAGAGCAGCACTGCTTTCAGTTACGTGTTTGTGTGCACGCCCTTACGAAAAACATCCAGTTTGCAACGGGACCTGGACGGGCGCCAGATCCCACGGGATACTAGCGTTCCCACGATCAGACGCCCGCCCCTGCCGTGCGTTTTCCGGATACTAGTGCACTTTCCGCGGTACTTTTTTACTGCACATCGTCGGCAGGATGCCACGGGTTGGCCACGGGTGCGCTACGCTTCCCAGATGTTGCGGTGTGACATTTATGCCTTTAGCACGACAAATCCTCCGAGTGAACGGGGCCCAAGATAGGAAAACCTCTTTCTACTTGTTGTGCAGATCAAAGGAGCTCTGCCAGAAAAAAAAAATGAAGTTCTCCAACTTTTAAAATCATGTCTTTTTGCACATTTATTTATTGTTTGCATTTATATCCCACCCATCCCGCGGGCAGGCTCAGGGCGGGCAATATCATTAGAATAAATACAATTTCAGTTTAAAACATTAAACATTAAAACACGATAAAACATTATAACAATTAAACCAATGGGTACTGCTTGGAACAGCATCAGTTGGCTATAAAGTTCTGGCCCGATGGTGCAATGAGTTAAAGGCTAGTTTTCGGTGGTCAACAGACAGGGTGACAGACGGGTGACAATAACCTCAGGGAGGCCATAA